TTATATTCCGCTTGGGAACCCTGCAGCCCAATGGTATCAATGTGGATTTCACAAGTTTCAAAATCTCCCCTCCCCCTACCGCATCCCAAAACCAGTCCAGCTCGTCCCTGCCTCCCTAACCTGTTCTTCCTCCCACCTATCCCCTCCTCCCACCTCAAGCCGCACCTCTGTCTCCTACCGACCAACCTCATCCCGCCTCCTTGACCTGTCCGTCCTCCCTGGACTGACCTATCCCCTTCCTAACTCTCCACCTACACTCACCTTTACTGGCCCCATCCCCGCCTCTTCGACCTGTTTGTTTCCTCTCCACCTATCCTCTCCTCTATCCATCTTCTATCCGCCTCCCACTCTCTCCCTATTTATTTCAGAACCCCCTTCCCCTCCCCCTTTTCTGATGAAGGGTCTAGGCCCAAAACGTCAGCCTTTCTGCTCCTATGATGCTGCTTGGCCTGCTGTGTTCATCCAGCCCTGCACCTTGTTGTCTCGGATTCTCCAGCATCTGCAGTTCCTACTATCTCTTGCTAAGGAGTGTCAGCTGACCTAATGGCTGTAAAGAAAGAAAAAAATTGGGGGAAAGTAAGAGGAAAGTTATAGAATTAGAATAGGTCTGAATGATTAGATTTCAGACTCCAGTCATAATAATTAGTATCGTGTCATTCACTACTTCCAACTTGGTAGTACCAATAGTGCTCAAATGAATCTGAACAATTATTCAGTAACCTTTACCAATTGCTCTTACTGGATTTATTGTAATTTTACTTCCAAAATTCAGATTTAAAAATTCTCAATACAAATAACAAAGGTTGTCGTGTGGAGGCTTTGGGCTGTAGGCCTTTGCTATAATGCAGGCCTGTAAAAATGTGTTTATACAGTACATTTGTGGGTGAGGGCGATTCCAAAAAAAATAGTGTTTTCAATATGAGAAACAGCTGTGACTCTCTTGCGCACATGACTCATCCATTTTTATTGGGTGGGAGACTGAGGCCACTGACATACAGAGACTGATTGAGAATCATGTTTATTTTGCAGAGTATCCCAGCCACAGACCCACACACACACTTGAATATCTATCGTCTTGTTTTTTTCTCTCTCCCCCAGTTCCTGTTATAAAAACAGAACCCACCGATGACTACGAACCTGCCTTGGTCTACGGATCGCTTAATCAAGGGATGAACCCAGTGTCCCAGACTTACTACTCCCAACAGGTCATGACACCCGAAATGACACCAGATCCTGGTTCTTGCCTTGTAAGTAGTTTTCCCTCTTGTCAGCAACGAAGCACTGGGTTGTCGTCTTCCCCCACTTCAGGTCACAAACAGCATGAAATTACACCCATCTCTTACACCAAATGTGTCAGCACCCCTACCAGTGCTCAGCTCAGTCACCAGCAGTCCGGAGCGACAGTGCCCACTATCCAAGAAGTGCATAGATCTGTTGTTGTGCATCCAAGTTCACCCACTCATTCAGCACATGTTATGATGCAGCCCCAGATGAGTCAGCATCTGAACAGCAGCTGTTCCCATGGTTTCCAGCAAACTCTGTATCCCAACAATCTTTCTCCACAAGGCCCGTCCGCTTCCCCAGAGGCTGCTTATGTGCAGCCCTTCAGCCCCACTAACTCAGCAGGCATGGGTCAACAGCAACAAGCTCCGAAGCCTCCAAGAAATGGATCTCAGTCTAGTCCATCAATGATGCTGCCAGTACACCAGGAGAACAGTCAGGATTTGACGCCCTTGCAAGTTACAGTGAAGCAGGAGCCTCAAGAACTGGACCAGTTGTATCTTGATGATGGTAAGTGCATTATTATTGCAAAGTTTTTATACCAAATTGAAGTTTAAATTTGAAAATTGTCTTAAATCATTATATTTATTGCAGGATAATAAATGCCCAGGGTAATGGTCTCTTCCACAAACTTATCTGTGCTCAAGTAGCACTGGAGGCTAAACTTGAGGCTACAATTGGTGGACATCTCGGACAAGATAGGGTGGTGAATACTAGAAAAATATTATCATTATTAAGTTTATACAGTTCTTTTATAGTTGCAATTAATGAGTTATTTTGATGCAACATTTCAATTTGAAAGTGATTAAAATATTTAATAAAGTGCATTAGCAGCAGTCTAGATAGTAAGATAGACAACAGTAATATCTGTAACATTCTTAAACCCTGATTCTTCACATTACTGATCCAAACACATTACTGAAACATTTATATAGCCATTTCTGGAAACCATCTGGATGTGTTTTCCTCATCTGTGTTCCTTTGTTGCTCTCCAAGTGCCTAAATCACGTAAAGCCTTTTATGATGAACTGATGAGTTAGTGCATGGATGGGAGACCATATTGGAATATCAGGTGTTAAAAAGAGCATTCTGGGTCCAGGCTTGATCTCACCATACGCAGGAAATAGTTATCTCTTTTCCACAGACTTAATTATGCACCAATGGCGCTGGAGTAGGAAGCATATGAAGCTGGCTGTTAAATCTGAGGCCCCCACAACTGGTGGGCACCTCAAATTGGAGTTTGCTGTGGACAGTAGTACAGTAACAGTTGTTTATATGGTTAAAACACACAGGTAAAGAGATAAGTAATTAAGTATTTGAACACTTAGCGGCAGAGATACTACTAGGGCATTGGGGTTAGAAGGACAGAAGCCAACATCTGTTATACTGCACAAAAACAAAGTTGCTGGAAATGCTCAGCAGGTGTGGCAGCTACTAGGAAGGCTACTGAGGAAGGGTCACCGGACCTGAAACATTAACTCTGTTTTCTGTTTCACTGATGCTGCCAGACCTGCTGAGCTTTTCCAGCAACTTTGTTTTTGTTCCTGATTTACAGCATCCGCAGTTCTTTTGGTTTTTATCTGTTATACTGCATTCGGAGAAAAAAACTATAATCAAGAAAAGTGTTAGTTTCTAGTTTGATACTTCATGAAATAGCTTGGGGTTGGATTTAACAACAATATTGTCATTATTTAAATTGAAAGCTTCCTTAGTTATTTTGAAGAGTTAAATTTCTGATCAGTTCCGCTGCTCCAACAATTGGTATATTTTGCTGATCTTTTGATGACATTGATGCAACCCTTTAGCTACTTTAGAAAAAAACATACTGTGTGTTCATTGCAGAGATTTGGATGAATCTCTCTCCCAATTTCAATCAGAGAGGGATTAGTAGGATAACAAATCATATTTGATAAGTAATAAGCAGAATTTGTCTTTCGAAAATTGGATTAGATTTCCATCCATTTATAACCTATGGGCAGGAAATCTATTTATTCCATAAAATAAAAGCCTAAATTTGATTGTCTGCAGGAAAAGGTGCCAGGGGTGTGTTGTTGGAGGGAAATGGGGGTGAGGTTTTGAGTATGAAATAGATTTTTTATTTGTAATGACATTGATTATTCAAGCTAGACCAGAGATCTGTAATAAAATATTAAGTTAAAGCTTTCATTGTATAAATTATTTATTTTGAATAGCAAATATGATTAGCATGAATAGCATTGTAAGACCCTGATCTGTGTGTTGATCTCATCTTGGCAGAGTATTTTACCCACCCAGGTCTTCTTGTAACTACCCCAATTGTTGGGCTATCCCCATGGGGCTCACTCTGTTTATGGGAGAGCAATTTCATACAGAGAAATGTCTTGGTGGTTTAACCTCATTTGCACCTTACTGGTGAGGAGGCGAGTTGAGCCAACACTTATTGGTATTGGCTGTTGAGCTTGGATGGGTGGGTCGAGAGAGGAGCTGGCATACCATGATTGGCAGGGAGCTGGAAACCCTGTGCTGCTGCTCCTTGCCTCTCAAAAACTATTCTGAAAGCCAAGCCAAGCTACTTAGAGTCATAGAAATATACAGCATGGAAACAGACCAACTCATCCATGCCGACCAGATATCCTATATAAATCTAGTCCTATTTGCCAGCATTTGGCCCATACCCCTCTAAATCCTTCTTATTCATATACCCATCCAGATGCCTTTTAAATGTTGTATTGTACCAGCCTGCAACACTTCCTCTGGCAGCTCATTCCATACACACATCACCCTTTGCGTAAATAAGTTGTCCCTTAGGTCCCTTTTAAATCTTTCCTCTCTCTTTTTAAACCTATGCCCTCTAGTTTTGGATTCCCTCATCCCAGGAAGAAGACTTTGCCTATTCACCCTATCCATGCTCCTTATGATTTTATAAACCTCAGCCGCCAACTATCCAGGGAAAATAGCTCCAGCCTATTCAGCCTCTCCCTATAGCTCAAATCCTCCAACCCTGGCAACATCCTTGTAAATCTTTTCTGAACCCTTTCAAGTTTCACAACATCCTTTCTATAGCAGGGCAGTATTCCAAAGTAGCCTAGTCAATGTCCTATACAGCTGTAACATAATCAATGCACTGACTGATAAAGGCAAGCGTACCAAACGGCTTCTTTGCCATCCTATCTACCTGGGGCTCCACTTTCAAGGAACTATGAACCTGCACTCTTTGTTCAGCAACACTCCCCAGGACCTTACCATTAAGTGTATAAGTCCTGGCCTGATTTGCCTTGTCAAATGCCTTACTGAAGTCCATATAGATCACTTCCACTGCTTTGCCTTATCAATCCTCTTCATTACTTCTTCAAAAAACTCCACTAAGTTAATGAGACATGATTTTCCACGCACAAAACTATGTTGACTATCCCTAATCAGTCCTTGCCTTTCCAAATACATGTAAATCCCGTCCCTCAGGATTCCCTCCAACAGCTTGCCCACCACCAATGTCTGGCTCACCGATCTATAGTTCCCTGGCTTTTCCTTACCACCTTTCTTAAATAGTGGCGCAACATTAGCCAACCTCCAGCCTTCCGGCACCTCACCTGTGGCTATCGATGACACAAATATCTTAGCAAGGAGCCCAGCAATCTCTTTGCTCACTTTCCACAGAGTTCTAGCATACACTTGATCCATGGGATTTATCCATCTTTACGTGTTTTAAGACATCAGCACCTCCTCCTCTATATTATAGACATGTTTCAAGATGTCACAGTTTATTTCCATACGTTCTGTATCTTCCATATCCTTCCCCACAATAAACACTGATGCAAAATACTTGTTTAGTATCTCCCCCATCTCCTGCAGTTCCAAACGTAGATGTCCTTGCTGACCTTTAAATAGCCTTATTCTCTCCCAAGTTACCCTTTTCTCTTTAACATATTTGTAGAATCTCTTTTGGATTCTCCTTTACCCTATTTGCCAAAGCTATTTTATGTCTCCTTTCTGCCCTCCTGATTTCCTTCTTAAGTATATTTTTGCTGCCTTTGTACTCTTCTAGGGATTCACTCGATCCCTGCTGTCTATCTCTGACATATGCTTCCTTCTTTTTCTTGACCAAAACCTCAATTTTTCCAGTCATCCAGCATACCCTACTCCTACCAGCCTTGCCCTTCACTGTGGCAGGAACATATTGTCTCTGGACTTTCGTTACCTCATTTTGAAGGCTTCCCATTTTCCAGCTGCCCCTTTACCTGCAAACATCTGCCCCTAATCAACTTTTGAAAGTTCATGCTTAATATCATCAACATTGTTCTTCCTCCAATTTAGAACTTTAACTTTTAGATCAGTCTATCCTTTTCCATCACTATTTTAAAACTAATAGAATTATGGCCACTGGCCCCAAAGTGCTCCCCCACTGACACCTCAGTCACCTGCCCTGTCTCGTTTTCCAAGAGTAGGTCAAATTTTGTTCCTTCTCTAGTAGGTACATCCACATTCTGAATCAGAAAATTTTCTTGTGCACACTTAACGAATTCCTCTCCATCCAAGCCCTCAACACTTGACAGTCCCAGTCTATGTTTGGAAAATTAAAATCCTCTACCATAACCGCCCTCACAGATAGCTGAGACCTTGTTATAAATTTGTTCTCAATTTCCTGCTGACTACTGGGGGCTCTGTAGTACAATCCCAGTAAGGTGATCATCCAATCCCAGTAAGGTGATCATCCCTTTCTTATTTCTCAGTTCCACCCAAATAATTTCCCTGGATGTATTCCCAGGAATATCCTCACTAGGTACTTCAAAAACAATTTACACTCTCTGCCCATTTAGACCTGATCAATGCACCGGGGCCTTGACCCTCTTATCAAAGTTAACCTTATAAGGCTTAGCACAATTCTTGCCACCTCATTCCAGGACTGTCTGGAGGTGGTAGTAGGCAGATTGAGAATGTGGCGATAAGTATCAGCAAAGTAGTTTCTGAACACCGTCATTCTATTCGTGCTGATGGAGGCATATACACATGAGATTCAGCCACCTTCACTCCACCCTGCTTTTGTCTAGCAGCTGCACCTCTTCCTAGACAATGTCAGTTTCTCGAAACAACTTCTGCACAGGTCCCTTTGAGGTACTCTTAACCTCTCAGCAAGTGGTTTGCCATTTTGTGCATTATGGAACTTTGCAATCTAATTTCCTGGCTCATCTGATTGAAAAATGTTTACTCTTATTTCTCACCTACATACTGCCTCCCAGCAACATCATATGAAAACGTGTCATGTTCCATATGTATGCCCAGCTTGACCTTGCCATAACCTCTTCATGCCCTCTGCTGTCTATTTTTTTGTTGCACTGCTGTTATCCTGTACTATATGAGCAGAAATTTCTTCCAAATGTATTGTCTTCAGTCTCCACCTCAAAATCTGCTCCCCCATGAGCAATGCTATTCCTTCCCTGCCAACCATCTGAGGCTGCATTACACTGTTCCTAGTCACACTGTCAGTAGAACTGCTGACTTACACCTTTTTAAAATCATTTGCGTCTGCCCTACCT